ACACTACGGACATTTTAATCACCCAATTCACCTATAGTGCATGTCTTTGGACTTGTGGGGGAAACCAGAGCACCTGGAGGAAACCCACACAAACACAGAGAACAAGCAAACTCCACACAGAAATGCCAACTGACCCAGCCGTGGCTCAAAATAGCAACCTTCTTGCTGTGAGGCGGCAGAGCAACCCTGCACAATTACCCAAAAAGTAACTGTTATATTGTTAGCATGCGTTAAAGTTAGCTTGTTGTCAGTTTGCTCGTCATTGTATTAAATCATGTTTGGCTCCCCAAAATAAAAATAAAGAGGTTTGATGATACAACTAAGCATTTAAATATCATTTTGTATGACATATTTTGTGAGTGACAGCTCCTGTTTTTATGCAAATATCTATTTATTTTTTTGTCCATGGAAATGGATTATTGAAATGAATATGTATTATTTTAATTATTAATAATAATATTAATATTATGTATATTCAGACCTTAATAATGCCTCATACTTGAAAGATGAGGTTACTTTGATCCTAATAATATCACAAAAAAACTTGACATTAATTCTGTGCTATTTGTTTAGCACACAAGTTTTCCACATTAGGGAGCCACAAAGGAGTGCTGTATAATAAATTATTATTATATTAATTATATTTTATTACTAAGAATTGCAAGTTATTTTTATCTATTATTATTTTTTTCTTTTCAATTGTTAGTATTAGGGTCCCTCACAGGTGGATGATTTAATATAGGGGTCCACGTTATCCAAGAGATTGAAAACTCCTGGTTTAGTACATTAAGAGAAGATACTGAATGACAAACTGCTCATGCTAACTGTGCTTGTCAACGCATTGGAAAGTTTGCAGCACTGTTGCTATAATTAGTATTTACCATCTCATACACTGTGTTATGCAGTGTTCCACCAGGACTGCACTGTGAACACACACACACACACACACAAACTGAAACTCCAGCCTGTTGGTTCAGGGTAAAATTTCCCCAGTCACTCTAGGAGGAACATGACATGCAAAAACAGTCATGCATATGCACACATGCATAAGCTATACAAACACACTAAATAACACATGCAGTTATATGAAACACTTCAAGAAATGTTTAGAGGTGATTTATGAGAACTGTTGACAAGCCCATTTGTCATGCCCATGCTCATTCATTCCATGATCAGATCTCCACTGAATACATCACATCTAATGAAATATTAGACCTTCGTTATTACATACACACACTCATGCATACATTGTTAAAGGTCAAAGCCGGCAGTAAAGATCTTTCATTTCCTTCACATGCTCTTTGAAAAGCCACCACCCCCTAGACACTCAAATCCCTGCATGAAATCAGTTGCAGATGGAAACACACCCATCTCCTGTCCACCAATCACTGCAGAGGCGGGCAAAAGCTCCGCCTCTAGTTGTAGAGGACTGAAGGGTAAAAGAGTGCATGCAGAGATGAAACAGCTCCTCTGTGCTGTAAATATGACAAGCATGACAGTCATAATAAACATGCGCACCTATACACACATGACAGGGATTGACGGTAAGCTTGGATGAGGCGGCCCGCATGTTGCTTTCAAAAAAACTACTCAAAGAATGTAAGGTAGACGAAACTGAATAAATATATAAAGGATTTTTTTTTTTTTGGATGTTTAAGCGATTAAAATTTAAATTTAAATTTTTTACATTTTAATTTTAATTGTTATGCAAAAAGAAATGCTCAAAAAGCCTGTTTAAGAGTCATTTATTTTGGGTTTTTAGACTGATGCAAAGAAATAAGACATTAAATCTTTTGACATTTAGTTTTTTTATGATTGTTAGCTGTTACTAATGTTGATTCAGAATTTAAAAAAAATTAAAACAGCTCATTGTGAGATAATGTTTAATGTAAGATAAAAAATTCTGATATTATATTGAGTTGCAATTGTGAGGCACAAAGATCAAGGTCCATAATAATGTCATGATAATTAGAAATGCAAATATAAAATTTTGCATTACAGACATTTTAAGAACCAATTAATATAAGGATAAACACTTTTACTAACAATTTCTAAAAATATCAAACACTTCCCAAAAGACATAATTTGACTGGCATCTACGCTTATTTTTTTTTATAATTGTTTTATATATATATATATATATATATATATATATATATATATATATATATATATATGCGGTTTTTTTTTTTTTTTTTCCCTAGGTCTCCATGATCCTGGATACTAAGCAGATGCTGTGGCAGTAATGGAAGAGTGGTGAGCATGAGACTGACTCCTAAAAGAACCAAGAGGCAGACGAGTCTCTGCATTGTTCACGTGGGTCAGCCTGAGCATTTGCTGGTGACCTACCTGCAGCTCCTTCATGAAGGACGTCCAACATTTTCCAGCCTCCGTTAACTAGGAATGGTCGTGCCCAACTGAGTCTGGTTTCTCTTAAGGTTTTTTTTTTTTTCCTCAATTTTCATCTATTAGTGAAGTTTGTTCCTCACCACTAGCTTGTTTGGTTTCTTACTTGTGGAGCCGTGCATCGATGGATTTGCTCTTCAATGTTTGGATTTTCTGCAGTGAGAAATTAAACCACACTGTACTGAATTCAAATAAAAAAAAAATTTAAAAAAAACTGGACCAACCCAACTTTAAAATACTAGAACTTCTCATCTACATTGTTAAAGCGCTATAGAAATAAAGATGAATTAAATTTAAATGAAACCTTTGTATAAAATATATATATTCTTTATCAAATGTTTAAGATATTTTATATTTAATGATCAACATGGCTTTTCCATGTCTATCAATCAAATTTTTAAAATAATTTTCACTATGAAATTTTAGTTCTTCAAAATAAAACAAAAATTAAATATTAGATCATTTATAACTCATTTAAATGTTTGATGGCTTATGAATCTCTTTAAGTCATCTTAAAAGTCCCTGGTTGAGAACCATAGATATATATACACTAGATATCGCATACGGACCTTGAGCATTCGTCAATAGCACCGCCATATTTGTACAGTGCTCCCACGACAAATGTCATTCAACTGCACTAGTCAAGACTAAAGCCAATCTGAAGATTCTAGACTTTTGCGTATGGGTGTAGGAATGAGAAAACAAAACATAAAGGCATAACATTTCATAGGTAAGATTTAGTTTTTTATAATTTTTTTGTTACGAACATACAGTCACTTACTGCATTGACCATAAGGCAAAGTAGTACCAACTTACACTAAATACTAAGCTTATGCTAGTTTTGATTAATAAAATCAGCAAATGAAATATGACAACAAGATGCTTTGGTACCAGAAATCTTTATTTCTTGTATTATTGTCGGTTAAGTCAAGTAATGGCCAGTTTTTGAAGTAACTTATGAAGATGCCTGATAACATAACAATGCCTGTGTCTCAATGTGTATACTCTCCACCCTAAATTATTAAATATTACAAATTTTATACAATTTAGATCAGAAAGGTGGATAAGTACATTGAGACACAGGGATGTATTAGAATCAGAAGTGAAAGCAGGAGAGGGGGTGTGTTTTGAGACATGGATTAGATAAAAAAAATTGCAGTCAATAATGTAATCGTATTCATTTAGGTAATATATTTGGACTACTTTTGGATTATCTTTAGATTACTTTTAACCTAACTTGCTTATTTTTTATTAACAATATGGACCTTTTTTGAAAGATGTTTTAATAGTGAAAGAAGAATAAGTGAAATTGATCTTTATGAATGATTTACTGTTTTTTGATTTAACGTTTATTGAACAAATTATTCAACAAATGTTGATAAATCATTCATAATAGATCAATTTTCCCTTGTTTTCCTTTATCTATTAAAATACTATACAATACAATAACAGTAATCTAATTATGCTTTCCAGATTACATGTAATCAGTTACTACTCACTGCTGTCTATTTCTTTTGCATATAAAAAAAAGAAAACAAGATTTTTCCGTGTGTCTGATAGGCACTCTTCATGTCAGATTTTGATAAAAAAAAAAAAAAATTCCATTAGTATTAACTGTGATCTGAATTCAGTAATACGTGTTGATGGTTACTTGGCATTGACAAATGCTGGTGATATTTTTTTCTAGCACAAGAGTACATAAAATCCTCAGGGGCCCTAGCATTGTTTGATTTGGCGGAAAATATGTGTGCTACTGAATTAGAAGTTTAAATCAGATGTGTTATAGTGCATTCTGTACTATCTAGAGCTTGTCACATGCTTCTCACCCCACACGCCTCCCCCTAGTAACGGAAAAAGTGCACAGCTTCTCTCCATGTCTCTGGTCAGTGTCATGGTGACAGTTTGTGATCCTGTAGACGGTTATCTAAATCCACGACTCTCAAACTCGTATTGCACTTGATATTTCTGTTGTGCTGAAGGTCTTGTGATCCAGGGGTGGAGAGTTCATTTGTATTCAGTGGAAGTGTGACCTAATCTAAAAATGGCCACAATGTTCTACATTTTATGGCTTTGGACAAGAGCTCTAAAGCCCAACCACAATTCATGAGGTCTTAAACTTAAAGTATATGATGATTTTTCAAGCATACAAAAGGGTAAGCATCTTATTCTGTAGTGATTTTGAGGAACTGGGCCCTCATTTATAAAACTTCGAACATAGAAACCTTCCTGAAAGTGAGAGTACACCAGAAAACATTTTTATTCATGTATTAAGGATTATGGCTCTTATGCTGATCTAAAGTTGATCAATTAAACCAACGTTTAGGTTAAATACTGTACTTTTACTTAAGGGCATCACACACCGGATGCGCTGCGACACATCGCACACATGACAGTTGAAAGTATTTTAAATGAAACTAATGGGACCAGACTTAAACCTTGTCGTCGTTGTCAACTCCTCTCTGCGTCTCAAATTCGCTGACTTACACAACGAGCTAACTGGACAAACTGGTTGGGCCGGGAAAGCCCTCCACATGGAGATAAGTGGTCAGCTGGTAAGCGCAAAAAGAAACGGCGTCATACCGCCCCAACCCCGTAGCATTCGTTAAAAAAAATGAAATGGAGCCATACGTACCTCCGGCTACAAAATTCACGGTTTGTAGAAACGTACACGAGACTACATATTCAGAATGAGCCTGTGTTGGTCACAACCTCTGTGTGGTAAGTGGCATATGCACTTTCCATTTCTATATTGTGTGTACTCTATGTTTATAAATGAGACCACTACTCTGAAAAATGTGCAAATGATTTGCTTCAAACCAATTTAGTCTTGCAAACACATATCATACTGACGCATGATTTCAGCAAATAAGGCATCATTAGGATACTATTCTTAAGTTAAGTTTCAATGGTTCACCACTATGATTGTAAAGCAAATGTCCTTATATGCATGATTACTGTAGATTTTTTATAAGGCAGGCTGGGCTTTTCCTTCACATTTAAAGGGTTGGTTCACATAAAAATGTAAATTCTGTCAGCAATTATTCACCCTCATGCCAGTCAAATTCTCTGATACCCTCGTTTGTCTTCGAAACACAAATTAAGAATTTTGTTTTAGATGAAATCTGAGAACTCACTCATCCACAATAAATAGGTTTGATCCAGAGATAAAAAGGAACCAAAAATATTGTCAAAATATTTCATGTGATGCTGGAATAAGTTTAATCATGTGAAGCTCCAAAAAAACAAACAAAAAAAAGAGAAATGGCATTGTTCACCTTTGTCTCAAGCATCCCAGCAGGCACACAACATCATAAAAGTTTAATTTTATTATAGATTTAGGTCATAATGTCGGGTGACCAAAATTTAATGTCTAGCCAGTGTCGAAGGACAACATTTATTTGATGTCCAATAATGACATCAAATGACGTTGATATTAGGTTGTGTTTGAAAGTGACCAACATTGAGCCAACATCATAAACGTCTAATTAACATCAAATACTGACATTTATTTGTCAGATATGGCAACCAAAATCCAACATCTAATAGAGGTCATAGTGGTTAACGTCCACACAACATCAAGCTGTAACATCATTAGCCATTTGTTAAAATCACCAGTGATTTAATCCTGGCAGATCACTAGTAAAAACACAGATCGCTAAAGAACTACAAGTACACCGTTACATGAACTACAGATCCAGTCATTCACCACACATTCACACCAGTTCCGGTTATCTGCTGATTGCCAACACACACAGCTGAAGCTGTTTAGAACTGATTACATAGACATTAAAAGCAGCACAGACACACACTAGTTGTGAGTCTTGTTTAACTGTAGTGAACTGAACGACCCGTTTTCCTTGCCTTGCCTTGACGGTTTTGACCCTCGCTTTGTTTTTTTGTTTACTGTTTATTCCTGTCTGCTGCCTGCCTTTGACCATTCGCATAATACATTGACCATTTACTGACCATTCCTACTCTGTTGTCAGCAACCCATCACATTACAACTCTGATATTTTTTTTTTTTTAAGGTTGCATTAAAAAGTGACCAAAATCCAACAGTGATGTTGGACACTGACAGTGGTCCGACGTTAGGCTCTGACATCAACTCGATTTTGCAACACAGGCGCTTTCTGAAAATGTATTCCTGTTTACGTTTCAGGAGACCGCAAATTATGTAGCCAGAGGTACGTATTCAGCATCTGCAGTAGTGAAAAAAATTACAGATAAGGGAGAGAATTTGTGCAGAAACACTGATTTGTGTTTTGGAAAAAATATAAGATAAAAAATGTTAAATTCCTAAAATCAAAATAAAGGAATAAGTCAATATAATAATTTTACTGAGCTCCAAGACAACACTAGATATACTGACTTCATTTTATTTAAATTCTTTATTTATTTCCTGGATTTTACATGGTAATATTGACAGGACAAGTAAATATGCCTACACTTTAAAGCTGCTATGTGTATTAGCTAAATATTACTAAACTGGAAAAAACTGTTTATTAAAACTTGATTTTTTCCCCCCAAAATATTCATTTAAAAAATTGTTAAAACTTCAAAAGATTTTCTGTTGTCAACATTCAAGATTTCTTGCTCCTCTGTTCTTCCAGTCTCTTTCACATATGACTGACAGGGATTTTCTAGACACTTTTATATCAGGCTTAAATTAGGACTCTAAACTGACCATTTCACTGTTTCATCATTTTCAGCTTAAAGGGCCATGAAACCCCCTCGTTTCAACAGGGTGTTTTCACACCTCTACTTTGGAAAAAGTCAGAAAAGTGGGCGTGTCCAGCTCTGTTTAGGGGGAGTGTCGGAGGAAGAAAAGTGGGATGTGTGGGAGTGTCTATTTGGGCACGCGCAAGTTTCAGAGTCAAAATACACACACAAACACACAGGAGAAAGTGATGGTGTTTAACCTACATGGACATGTGTAGTCGAATTATTTGCCAAATTATTAAATGTTGGACTTTAACTGCAGTTTGGCTCTTTCATTCAGGGAATTCATTTATGCCCCTCGCGACAAACGAGATATTTGATTCGAGGAACTGCTCTAAGCGTGTATTTTTCATGCAATGTTTGATACTGCACGGCAAATGAGAGAAAAAAAACCTCTGCATTTCCCAGAAACTTAGATGCACACGGCAGGTAGCGTCAGAAAGTCGCGTGTGTTATTCCGGTCACAAAATGCTGTAAAAACCCTACACGAGGTTAAAGTTGTGGTGCTAACATGTTTACACTCGGTGCAATAGTTTGTTCGATACGAACAAACTGAATAAACAAAGAGCACTGCTCGCTCACTTACCAAATCTGTAGAGACAGGACAATCACCAGCAACTAGAGCCGCGTCTTTATGAAGAGAATACTACAAGTGAATCTGGATCTCAGCGTTTGCAGATGAGAACAGCTCTCAGGTAAACAATGTTCCTCCTTAGACACTCAAGTTATTGTTGTCGAGCGTCGCGTACACTGTTAATCCACACGTGACTCCAGATGAGCTCTCACAGAGAGAAAATGAAAACGAAACTTAACTGTAGCAAACTATAAAAGCAACACTTCACACTTGTTTTGCCAATACAACGTGGTGTGTCTGTCGTGACAGTAATGAATATTAATTGAAGTTGCACAATAGAGCGCGCTGATTGGTGTGAACCAAGCCTTACTCATGCATTAATGCATCACACTGTAAGACGTAATAAGACACTCTGGCACAGACGCCCAGTCTGCACGCTGGAATACAACGCTATTATGTCATGGCCGTGACGCAGCTTCAAAAATTCGTTTTTAAACCGGAAGTACGAATTTGCTTGAAATAACGCAAAAACAACCAATTTACACTTTTTTGTGAAATATAGGTGTCCTAATAGTGTTTTTAGCAGTGTGGGACACATATACAACTGTCAACAGCTCAAAAAATGTGTTTTGGTGTTTCGTGACCCTTTAAGGAACTGCTTCGACTAATTTAGCTGTTAATGTATTGGGCTTATTTTCCTGGAAATTGCTCACTGATTGGGCAATGAACAAAGAAAAGGAAAAAGCAGCCAAAAGCTGCCAAAGCAGCTTCTGCTAAATATTTGCATTTACATTACTAGGTTTCTATATAAGAGGCTAAACTCCTGCTGGAGAAAACATCGCCCAACCATAACACTTCTTCCGACACCTTTTACTAACTTCTCACACTATAGGTTCATCCAGTTTTTATCCAGTTTGTTGATAAACATGTTTTCCATCAGACCTAAAAACTTTAAACTTGCTTTCAACACTAAAGTGAACTTTGGACAAGTTATTTGTCCACAACCTGCTCTCAGGGGATTTTAGGCATTTTTGAAACTTGCAAAACTGTGTGAAAACTGGAGAACTGGTTGCCCAATTTGATAGGGTTTGTCAAATAATTACCAAATTTACCAGCAGGTGCAGATTAACACCAATGGGAGGGTCTGAAGTTGTGGTTTAATAATAATTGTTGTTCTTTTAAAAAAGATTTGATCTTTGCTGTGCATTGGGAGAAAACCAAATTACCAAACACCTATAAACCTATGGAAATCACTGGAACAATTTGCCAGAACAACATTATGTGAATTTACCTTTATTTACCTTTGCCAGATGTGTAAACAAAAGGTTTTCACTGTTCTGTTGGACATTTTTGTTCTGACTCTCAACAGCATCCCTTTCAATCTTCAAATAACTAACATTCACCCAGATTAATTGGTGATTTAGACAGAAACAAGACAATGCATGGAGTCAAATAAGGGGACACATTGTAGCATTCCTGTAGTAGATGAAATCTAAGCTTTTAACGATGGCACTGAAAGGTTTGTTTACCTATGATAAAGCTGTGCCCATGAACTTTGAACCCTGGAAGATGATGATGAAAGCAGGATATAGTATCTGTTTAGAAAAGCGAGAGTGCAAGAATCGTATATGTATATACATCGAATGCTATTATTGAACTACAGTTGTAAGGGTGGTATTGGTAGTCGTTTCACCTTTGATTCGAACTGATATAGTGCATAGACCATGTTAGCTATAATGTTTTTATATTTTCAATGTCAGCAGTGCATGATCAGTTATCTGACAGATTCCACTTGATGTATTGATGTCCACACCTGTTTAAAGTTAAAATGCTTGACTAGGGAGTTTCCTGGGGTTTTTCCATCACTCCTGTCGCATTTTTCAGAAGCTCAAAAATTTAATGAAAATATAGATTGTCAACAAACACTCGCAGCTTAATGTTGTTAGGTCAAAAGCTCTCTTTAAGAATGTTTTATGAAAACTGATCTCAGGGTGTGATATACGGGAACACGTCAGGAGACTTCTATGGACATATAGATTCCTGTAACAAATCCTGACCCTTACTGTTTAACATATATAAACTAAAGTCACACCCATTACACAAAGGCGACTTTTGTAAACTGCAGGACTGTGGAATGTTTACACAAATGTTCACAAAGCACATTTTGGATATTTGTGGCAGGAACTAATTCAGTTCCTGCCCGACTTGAACTCTAAACTAGACCGTAATGCGCAAAGTAATTTGGAGTAACTGGATTTGTTGTCACAAGTGATTAATGTGTTTTCTTGTTTATACATGTTGATTCTGCAAAGAGCTTCATTGGTCAAAGACTCTGTGGTCACAATCTGTGTTTGCATGTTTGTGTACTCTTGAAATATTCGTGAAGCAGAACAAGTGGTTTGCAAGACTTATTTCAACATTCCTCTTTCGTCTCAATGTTCTTTCATATGTCAGTCTCTGATTGAGTATGAATGAATTTGCTCTCATTACTGCTGTGACGAAGCTCATGCTTATTAACAAAAGACACTAATTAATCTCTGCTGGTACAGCAGAGCAATTTCACATGCAGTCAACTGGAAATGAAAGAAAGGGAGACAGCAGAATATTGGGGAACACAAAGAAGCTCTTGGATATTCAATCTATCCTAACATCCCTCCAACATTAGGTTATCAAGGAATGGATGTACTAAGATATTGTATTTAACTTAAAATACAATTCAAAAGGCACCTATTTTAGTAATTTTTCAAGATCTAGATGAACCATTTGAGTCTCCAGAAGGTGTTTGTGAAGTTTCAGCTTTAAAACCTATTAAATTACTTTTTATACCTTTCAGAAGATTTTTTGCTCTGAACACAATAGCTGTTTTTGTTGCCTGTGCCTTTAATGCTAGTTCTCCCCACCCACTGTTCCCATGTGCCTATCAGAGTGTGCCTCAAACTCCACCTCGGCTGCATCAGATAAACAACACAGTGACAGACATGATGGAAGCAGATCTCATGTAACGTTTGTGAGAAATACTACAGTAAGAACTTTCCCAATGATTATTTTATGTATTTGTTGTGGATTTAATGAGTCGATGAGAATTATGAATCACACACAATGCCAATACAAAGTTCATGCACACAGACTCAAACACACAAAGCGCATGGATGTTAATATCATCGGCTGTATGGATATTAGTTATGCTAATGTACAAATGTCCACAAATCAGGATTGAAGAATCTTCTTTTATAATTGTACTGGCATGTCTTGTATTGACATGGATGTCAATCAATTTGGGGGAGGAAACCTACATCACAGCAGGCCTCAAAATGGGAGGCATCTGGGTTTCACCAGCTAATTGTAAGTTCCTTCTTAAACTGGAATGTAAAGTCCACTCTAGGGGCTTAATAACTAGCTAGTAACTAGCTGTAACTAAATTTGGAATCACTACAGTTGCACATGTTCAGAAAACCTTAGTTAGTAGGTTAAAGCCTTTAAATCATTAAACTTTTTTTAAAATTTGCCAACTAATGCATCTATATATCTGTCCTATAAAATGAAATTATAAATCACATTTTAATAGCACATTAAATTACAGACATAATAACAGACGACAAAAATATTTAGTAGTGCATAAGTAAGTTGTAACGTAGAATACCTTTAAGTCACAACTAGGCTACATTTTACCTTATGCACTGCTGGTGCAACCAACCAGCCTAGGGAACAGGAAATAAAAAAACAAAAGAGAGACTTATTGGCTGCGTCCGAAACAGCATACTGGAGTGCGCATCCCATGCACGCTGTGCTATGATCCCATGATGCCTCGCAAGCGAATTCATGAATAGGAGTAAAGCGACGTGATTGACGCAGGTAGGTTACGTGACCATGACAAAATGGCGGATGTAGTACGTCCTAACTCCATTCATGCTTTTTCGACTCATACTGTCGTACTTTTCTAAAGGCTGAGTAGTTTGTTTAAATTCAAATGCAGTACCTACTGAGTAGTAGGCGGTTTCGGACGCAGCCAATGTCTTTATATTACCCCAATATGACTGTGGACACACTATACCTACACACTGTTCTGTCAAAACAACTTACAAAAGATGATTTTCATCAACGGTGCCCTTTAAGGTTGTGGTCACATTAATGGTTCTATCGGCTTGTTTGGTCCACTCCATACTGAAAAAGAAAGTGAAACACCTGGCCCTGGTTTCACTTACAGTGTTCACATTGCCGGTTGTAAAACAAACCAAACTTACTTTATAATCCAAACTGTACTGTGTACTGGGCTAAAAAGTTGTTGGTTTTACATACATTTGATTGAATCTATCAAATGAGAGCTCATGAAATGCTTAAAAAGTGTGTAAAAAAATCGAAACAGTGGCTGAAATTCCTTAATCCATTCCCATAAACAAAAAGGTATGGTCCTGTATAATACAGATTGTTTGATGTTCCCATTTTAAGTTAATTTAA